CCCTGATGAGAATGTTTTTCTCCATTCTCTTTCTACCTCTTTATCATTATTTCTTCTTTGATGCATGAAAAATGAAGAATATGTAAATTTTGGGTACTTAGGAAGTGCTCAGAAGTTGTTTGCTATTATTATAGTTGTTACCATTACCTCATAGATTCCATTTCTTATGATGCATTTTGAGTAAATAACTGGTAATTGAGTGTAAAGTATGGAAAGACAAGATTTCCTAAGTGCCTACTTCCAAATACATTGGACTCTTACAACCACAGGTAACCTTCCTAAATAGGCTGGAAAACATTAAGAAATGCATGGGTGAAGAATGTTAAGAGATAGTGTTCTCTTTGCCTGTAGTGTCACAGAGGGCATGATCTTTATGTCTGAGCACCTAGAATTTAAATCCTAGCTCTAACAATTAATAGTTTTGGCGTACACGTGTGTGTATGTGTGTGTGTGTGTGTGTGTGTGTATGTGTGAGCGCATGTGTGGTGTATTTTGTGGGGTGAGGGGGAGCGGGAAGAGTGACAAGCCAGTTAGCCTGTGTTAGCTTTAATTTCCTCATGTTTGAAGTTGGGCTAAAATAAATAACTTTTGTTTATGGATGTAGATGCTAAATAATCAAGTATATTTAAAACACTTGGGAAATATTCCTGGCACAGTGTAGGATATTAATGATCAATAAATGTTTTACTTTCTCATTTATTTATTTCAGCTTCACATATGCACATTATTTCTGTATTAGATGTCCCCCCACCCCCTGCATTTAATATTAATTTAATCCTGAAATTGCAATATGGCTTCCAGGTTCACTGGATCTGACACCTGGAATCTCAGAAGAAAAGGGGGGGATTAAGCTTTGTGAGGTTCAAAGGCCATTTGTGCCCCTTGATATTGATTTTCTTAAATCGGACCATAGTCAAGAGCCTGGGAGAAGTAATTGAACTGACAACAGGCAGGTCTGGGTTATTAATAATGGAATAGCCTTGGACATTCTTGATGACTTAATTTAATGCAACAGGGAGTTCTGAAACTGAAATGCCTGGAGATGCGGTCAATGGTAAGATCTCTAAGGAGAAAGAAAAACATGAGTTATTCCTAAGAGCTTATTTCATAGAACAAAATATTTTTATGGTAGTTCCAAACATGAGGTCAGAGGAAATGGTTAAGATTTTCTCTTTTCAAAAAAACAAAATTATAAAGACTTGAAATTTTTTTATTATATTTATCTTTGCCCTTATTTTTGGTTAGAGTTATGAAATTTGGAATCTTAGTGGGCAGCTAAAGATCATGGGCATCCTATTTTTTTTTAATCCCCTGGGTTCAATATCAGCTCTCCATCTATTATCTATTATATAACTTTAAACAAGTAAACTATTAGAGCCTCCATTTCCACATCTGCAGTTATTGGAGAATATTTAAATCATTTAAAAAGTGTGTAAAACACCTGGCCCTTGATATTTTATAATACCTCACACAATAAATATTTGTTAACTGAAACAATACATGAATTTTGATGCTTCCCTCTCTGCCTCTGGATCGAAACACTAGTCTATGGTGACCCATTGAAAGCTTTCCCTTTCTGCAGCTACTCTGGCTTTCCTTGCTCTGCTCCTCATCCTCTGTCCCTTGGACTCTTTCCATGGTCATTTATTGTCCTTTAAACCCAATTATCTTTTCTTTCCTAGTCTCTTCTCCCCAGTTATGACAAAATTATTAAAACAAGGGCCTAATTTCTTTTAACTTTAGTCATCTAGATCACTCTCCCCCATTTTTAAAGGGGAAACCCAGAGAGGAAAGGTGCTTACCCAAGTACCTATGCCCCTATAAGTTGATGTTAAAATTAGGGTTGAGCCTAGTACCCCTAGGCCTAGCAAAGGATAACAAAGAGGGTGCAGAGAGGACATATAACCTCTAGTTCTAGTCAAAAGGGTGTGGAGAATTTGCATAATTTTTTAACTTCAGTTTTGTACTGTTACTACCTTTAGTTTGTTGAACTTCAAATGCACAACTATCACTGTAATGATATCATTCATTTCCATGAAAATTCTAGGTCAGCCTAGAGAGACAGCACAATTAATAATAATGGCCAAAACATATAGTACTGAGTATGTACCAAGTATGGTTCCAAACACTGTACACATATTAACTTATTTCATCCTCATCAGTAACCCTAGGTACCATTATTATTCCCATTTTTCAGATGAGGAAACTGAGACACAGAAAGACTTAATAGTTTGGCAAGGTCATACAACTTGAGAGTGTAAAGTGGGATTAAAACTCAGGCTTCTAGGTTCCAGAGTCTGTGGTGTTAACTACTGTGCTAAACTGGAGCAAACACATTGAGTTTCTGTGAGCATCATTTTTCTTCACTGTACAGTTTAACCCTGCTTATTTTTTCCAGTATTAATCATCAGGAAATGCCAACTTGCATATAGCATAGTCTTCTGATAAACTTCTCTCTCTTTTTCAGAGAGTTATTTTCAATATTGTTAACTTCAGCAAAACCAAGAGTCTTTATAGAGATGGGATGGCCCCTATGGTGAAATCTACGAGCAGACCAAAATGGTAAGTGACCCACCGATTGGGACATATTTCTGGTTGGAGAATTTGACCCAGAGCACAAGTTCATCTGCTGTATGGATAGGGCTTAGCCTCACTGGCACTGAGAAGAATAAGATGAGTTTCTGGGTGACTATTCGTTAGAAGAAGAATATGAATTTCTGGATGGCTCCAGGTGCTGTGTTTTTTGTTTGTTTGTTGAGAATGTTGGGATAGAGAACATGCTCATGTTTAGATTGACCAAGATTCTGAGGGAAGGTGTAGTCTGTTATTTGGTTAATTTCACATCCTGCTTGCCTTTTATCAAGGTATCTTTGGAAACTTAATTAAAGTGATTCTATGTTCTTTTAGCCTGGGCATAAATGTTGTTCAGTAACCTAGGAGGATAATGAGAACTACATTTTAGTATATTTTTCTTGTTGTTTTTTTTAGGGTGTGTGTGTGTAGATGTTGTATTTTTGTGGATGTTAAAGTTCTCTTTATCCCATTGCTCTAGTGAGGATGAGAGCTGGATAGGATTGCCCAATTATAGTAATGATGATGATGATGTGGATGATAATAATAACTACTGTCATTACCTAGAGCAGTGGTCGACAGACTCATTAGTCAACAGAGCCACACATCAACAGTACAACGATTGAAATTTCTTTTGAGAACCAATTTTTTTAAACTTAAACTATATAGGTAGGTACATTGTTATTAACTTAATTAGGGTACTCCTAAGCTGGCCTTTGCTAAAAATGTCCTCAGTCTGAGGGGTCGACCTCAGGGAACGTTCCCCCACTTTTTCTAATGCCACTTCTTCAAACTAGACTTGCCCAGGCTGAAAACCGACTTCTGTGTATGGGCCACGAAGTTTCAGTCGCACTGTACGTGTGCGCCTGCACGTGGTATTTTGTGGAAGAGCCACACTCAAGGGGCCAAAGTGCCGCATGTGGCTCGTGAGCCGCGGTTTGCCGACCACTGACCTAAAGCCATTCTTTGTCAGATGTTTTACATTTGCTGTTACTATTCTCACAGCATTTTTGCAAGAGAGATTTTAAATATCCCTATATTACAGATGAAGAAATTGAGTCTAGGAAAGGTTAAGTACTTTCTAAAGATGATAGATAGTAAGGGGAGGAGCCTGAGTTATTTTTATTACCCCACAATGCTATTCAAACCAATTATTTTGTTCATCCACCCACTCATTTACTCATTCAACAACTACTGATTGAGTGTACCAAAACAAGGGATTTTAAAGACAGAAACAAAATGTTATTCATCTGTCACACAGTAGGTGCTAAGTGAATGTTCCTTGAACTGAACTGAATTCATTATGCAAATTTACATGTAAAGTGCCTGGCACTTGCTAAGTGCTCCATAAATGTCATCTATTATTAATAGTATTATGTAAACACTATACAAATGCAAGGAATTGTGAATATTATTCTAGCTTTGATCTCTGTTCAAAATTTAATGACTAGTGAGAAGATCATCTCCAAATATCTATATTTATAGAAAACCAGCAATTCATAAATATTGAATTGTGCTTTTATCTATAAACAATACTTGGCAATTTTCTGTAAATGCTGGGCTGAGAAGATCAGGTTTGTAAAAATGCAGGCATTTGATGATGATAATGAAAACTGTTTATTAAAAGATAAAATATTTTCCTGGGCCTGTTTTTTGCTTTGCTGAATCAAATGTACTAGACTGCTCTTCCTTAATTTCTTTTTAACAGTGGGTTCTGGACAAGGGATAGGCCTTTGCTTTGAGTCTCTGAAGTCAACCCAGGTGGATAACAAAAGCACACATGTCTCTAATAGGCATATGTGCTCATGTGTACTTCAAACCTTGCCTGCCAAAGAACATCACTATTGATATGCTCACCAGGGCCTTCAAAATAACATTGCACTTCTTTTCCTGGCTCTGTGCTGGGATCTCACACAGCAATAATAGTCACCCTCCGGTTTTCTCACGTGTTCAGTTCTGGAGTCTTCTCTTTTTCTGTGTTTTTGAAAATCCTTAAGCCTTAATTATTTCTTTTCATTTTGTTTTGTTTCTCATGGACTATCATTTGGGTCTTCTGTGTCAGGGCTTTTGACAAGATTTTGAAATATTAATGAGTCCTTGCATTTATATTATAATGCCTTAGAATTAAGTTAGTGTTCTTATTCAACATTGCAAGCTCTCAGCAGCAGCCATTATCCAGTCATGGGGTTTCTCTAATGGTCTGAAAGACATGAAAGCTTTAGAACTGAGTTTGTTGTAGTTTATCAAGCCTGTAAGGCATAAGGGACAAGAGATAATCAAGTTGTTGATATGTTTAAACTCTCCTATTTTTTACTTTACCATCCCCAGCCCTTAGATGCAAAGCTATTCACATTCCTTCATAGTCACCTGCCCCTAAGCCGATGTTTAGATATTTGTTTACTTAATAAGACTTTATGGAGCACTTTTAATGTGCCACACATTATTCTAGAAACTGGAGCTATTATATGAATATAGCAGAAAAGATACGTTCCCAAATGTAACTTTTATTTTAGAATTTTATTAACTGATCTCTGCAGTCTATTATGTCCTTGCTACTGGTTTGTACTAAAGATTCTTTCTACCCCTTTGGTTCTAACTGCCTAGGATTTGCTTCCATTCTGTATGTTGATGACCTATACCAGAAACTCCTCCAGTAGTCATTATTGTAAATGTTTTCAGGGTAAGATAAAGAAGTGTATGTGACTGACCCTCAGAATATTAAATTTTACTGAACCTAAAGTATTCATCAAAATTTAGGATTCTAGACAATGGCCTGACTCAAGGCTGACAAATAACCTTACAGATTCCAATGTTAGAATATCTTCTCTATTGTCTCCCTAATTCCAGTTTCCTGAAAAAACCAAGGTAACCATCATAACAAAGAGAAGTAGCTGATACTTTTCTGGTCTAGGGCAGTGGTCGGCAAACTGTGGTTCATGAGCCACATGCGGCTCTTTGGCCCCTTGAATGTGGCTCTTCCACAAAATACCGACGTCTGCGCATGGGCTGTGAAGTTTCAATCGCACTGTATGTGCGCGCCCGCACATGGTATTTTGTAGAAGAGCCACACTCAAGGGGCCAAAGAGCCGCATGTGGCTTGCGAGCCCCAGTTTGCCAACCACTGGTCTAGGGGCATTGCCTATTTTAATATTCACATAGACCATGGAAAATTTCTTACCACATGACAAACATTAAAAACCCTAAATTTCCTGGATGAAATATATTCCTAATTGGAAAACAAACTTTCCTTATCTTTTCAAGGTGAAATAACATTATTCTTCACCTATCCAAGGGAATTGTGACTGATCTCAAGCAAAGATGCCTCCAGACCTCAGCATAGGTCTGGTAATCAATTAGGTGTGGAAAGCAAATGAGCAAAAGAAGCAACTAAAAATCCATTATGCAAATATATGGTCAATCAAGACCGTTCTGCCTTGAGGAGATAACATCACAATACCTAGCAGCAAATTGGAGAAGCTAGAGCAGCAGTTCTCAACCCCTTTGGCGGTCGAACGACCCTTTCATAGGGGTTGCCTAAGACCATCCTGCATATCAGATATTTACATTACGATTCATAACAGTAGCAACATTACAGTTATGAAGTAGCAACAAAATAATTTTCTGGTTGGGTCACAACATGAGGAACTGTGTTTAAAGGGCCAGAAAGTTGAGAACCACTGAGCTAGAGGATTCAAAAGTTTCCTGCCCATTTTAGTTCATTCTACTTCTGTTTACATATTTGTCTTTTAAAAGATCGCTGGTTGTTAACATTCTGTAGCATCAACTTTCTGCAATTATAAGTCATTAATATTTTTTAACATTGTCAAAAGCTGAAATTGCTACTAGGCACTGCTGAGAACTGGCGTTACAAAACGACTGGTATTTGTATCCTCACCTATGCAGAAACTAAGCTCATGATATTTACATAGTAAGTGGCAACATTAAGCCAAAGACATCAGAACTCCCAGTACTGTTCCTGCCATACTCTGTGCTTGGGGAGGATGGAGGAAGAGGGCACAAGGAAGCAGGAAGCAGCTGTGTGATCTTTGGTAGATCTGAAATGACTTTGCTGATTAATTTGTTCATTAGAGTAGATTGAGGAGATTGGACCAAATTTTAGAGGTGGTAATAGTAGAGATGAAAACAAGTTGGGTGGATTTGGGCATTGACATAAGATTAAATCAACTTAACTTTGTGATTGAATAGATGTGAGGGGTAAAAGAACAGGAGGAATTGTGGATGACTCTTGAATCAGTATCCATTCCTAACTGGTAGGGTGACCAACCCTCCTTGTTTGCCTGAAACTATTGTGTTTCCTGGGATATGGGAATTTAAACTTTAGTTTTAAATTGTGAATTCCCTGGGAAAACCAAGACAAGTTGGTCATTCAACTCCTGAGTGATGAGGCCGAAATGAAGACTCAGGGAGACAACTTTAAAGGCAGAACAAAAGACAAACCTTGTGTAAACACTGGGAAGATAAAACCAAAGCCCACAGAAACAAATTGGCATATTTCACTCTTACTGTAATCAGTTTTTTTCATCAATGCTAATGTTATTACCAATTTCCTTGAATATATTCCTATAAAGTAATAGTACTGAAAGCTATGTTTGCATTTGGCTTAGGTTTTAAGGTGCTCCCATACCACCATTGGTTAGGGATGACTAAGAAAACCCAAACACTTACATGAAAACATACAATGGCATTAGATTAAAATGCCCATGTGGTTTATTATTTTAAAAGTTGGGAAATGTAGTGGAAAGAGATTAGGAATAGGAATCTAAAAATCTGAGTCCTAGTCTTGGCAATATTGTTCTAAGATTTAAACAATAAAAAAAGACCCATATTATAGAAAAATCTTTTTATGCAAAGGTATTGATTATATGGTAGTTGATAATGACAGAAACTCAAACCAACCTAAATGTTTAAAACCAGGAAAATTAGTAAGTAACTGATAGTGAGTCAACTCATTGCAATATTATGCAGGCTTT